TTGCCCCAGATATCAATATCACCGGACAGCAGGAACACATCTCGCGTATCTTTTGATGGACGAAATGATCAGGAGTTGAATCATGGTGACAGCCTGCGAGTGACAACTTCTATATACCCGGTCCCAAGCATTTGCGCACAGGATCAAATATCCGATTGGTTCGACTCACTGGCGGAGGGTCTGCATTGGAATGTGCGTAAGCGTCAAAAGTGTCTTGACGAACTTTCGGATTTGACAGCGTCCGGTTCGGAGGACACGCTTGATGAGTTTGACAATCTTAAAATCCAAGATTCGTAGTGCTCAACCGCAATCTAGCTGTTTGCAGTTCTTAAAGTGCCCAACTGTAGTGGTTTAGTATATAGAGTTTGATCGTGTGCAATTTGTAAACATTTAAAGTTTCTAGCTAGAAAAATACTCCGTTCTATTGTACAAAATATATTTGGTTGAGTTAAACGTTATTTCTCTATTTTATACTAGGAAAATTTGTATTTCTTGAAGAACAAATCAGTTTAAGTGTAGGTCTTAAGATCAAATTCACGCAAAATGCCGCGAAAATGTTAAAACTGTGTGTGTGTATATTTTGTACTAGTAATAAATTATTTTATTTACTAAAACCAAATTCACCTAACATTTATCTCTAATTGAAGAATGTTATATTGAAATGTATAATCTCATTAAGTTAGCACATACTAAACCCCTCGCTCTAAAATTCGTAGAGTGTATCTATGTCCACTAATTGGTGTCAAATTTAGAAATAAAGATACAATCAAACAAATAGACACAACAACAGCGTAAAGCACTTTAACTTACAGGACCCTCAAAGTAAATGCATTGAGACACTGCGTAACTGGAAGATTAATTACCTTTGTACATATGCAGAAAATCACATTAAGTTGCATAAGCTGCGAAATTATTCACTTACAATTCCTTAACTTAAAGAGCCTGCAAAGAACCCAAAGAATTTAATACAGCTGGATAGATAAAAAAATAAAAGGGCAATCGAAACCATAAATGTTGGCGCAATCATTTCATGGCTTGTGCGGATGTGAGTGAGCATTGAGTTATTTTCTCTCCTTTATAACGCTTAATAATAGACGCCAACCGCAGACCCTACTATGTCAGCTGCATTTCCGAGTCCGAGCAACAAGTGGGTCGAACGACCGCAGCGTCGCGCAGCATCCTTCCGTTTCAGCATCGCATATCTGACTGGCTAGGATAGGAATATTGCGTGTTATCCGGCATTTACGATTGGCGGAGCTAGCTTCAATGACACGCCCACGTATTTTCATTGCGCAGGCCTCAAACTGAACATGCGTCATGGGCTGGACAGCTAATTTTATTATGCGTATTTTAATGTAAGGCTTTCTTCTCCAATATATGGTATTGCTTAATGCTTACATAAATTATAAATATGTGTGTCCGTGTATGTCGCCTGCCTGTTGAACGAACGGATTGGAGATCGACACGCAGCCATAGCCGTAAAAGATACGAAGTTGTAATTTTTACAATGTGACCTTTGACCGTCCTATTACGATAGTCAACTCGAGATAGGATTCAAAAAGAGAAACTGATCCCGCTAAGAAAATTTCGAAAATGGGAAAATAATAGGTTCATAACTAACAATTTATGTACACATGGCGGTTAATTTGAATAGACGAATATTTTGACCTTCACGTCTAAAGCTCTATTTTACATAGATTTATGAAACTTAAGTTTTAATCCCGTCGGATTAAGAATCAAAAGTTGGAATCAACAGTTTCCGCCCACGTTAGGCTTTTTGTGCCTTCAAGCCGTAAAATAAACATTCGTTCAGTCAACCTTTGACCCTCATTTATCATCCAAGAGCGGTGGATTTTGCGAAAAGTGTGAAATACGTATCAGATGAATTTTCACAAAGATCTTTAAAAATGATTTTAAAGCAAATCAGATGATAAATAAATTACTTTCATGTAATCATGTTCCGCCAATTTACCTGATTTGCGAGAAGAAGTTTATGGAATATTATGTAAGACTTGCAAAATAAGTTTGAAGTCCGAAAAATCCTTGGATCTTGGAAGCTTGGATTCTGTGAAGCACCACTCAAATGAATTTTCATAAATATCCTTGGAAAGGAATTAAAGCCCGTAACTTTACTCCGCAAGTCTTTGACCCGCCTCTTAGGCCAAGGAGAAATGGATTTTCTGAAAAGTGTAAAATACCCCTGAAATTAATTTGCACAAAGATCTTTAAAAATGAGTTCGAGACCGATAAGATAAAGATAGTTTCACACGACTTACGGGTGAAATTGTTTAAAATCCCTTCTTCCATCACATTTAGAGGTAATGTTTTTATTAATAATATTAGTGTTGAGTGTAGAAGTAAAACGTATATACATATATTCTTACCTTTTCAATATTTGTATCTTAGATAGATAGATATATGTATATATAATCTATAAATAGGTTGCCGTAGTACTGACTGCGATGATCCAGCTATGAGTTGTATATATATATATATATATTATATTAATATTTTTGGATCATGCACTATGAAGTCGTTAACATCCCATACCGGACGTGAGAATTATTTTGAATGCGCCACCGCAAGATATTTTAATACTCTGGTTGAAGAGAATAATCCGAAATATGCTTGGAATTTCTTAATGAAATTTGTCGCCTCAGCTTAAGACAAATGGTAAAGTGAAAATGATGAAGGGCAATTCGAAATAGCGAACTCAACTTGGCATAGTATTCGAAGCTGCCAAGGCACGTGCTGATATTTCAATTGAATGCCGCAAAATATGTGGCGGCAGGCAGCCCGGCAGCCCGGCAGCCCTGCCGTAAGGCCAAAGGCATCTGTGGAACAATCTCGAGCTGAATGAAAAGCGGAAAACGCCACTGCATACGCACAGGCGCATCACTTGACATTTGAACTTAGGCTGGGGCCTTTTTAAAGCATGCACAGACCCGATAGTATTCCAAGTGCTGATGACAGTTGAAGTCTCTGCTCTTTATGGGTTGATGACTGCAGGGCTATCTCGGCTGGAGTTGCTTTGAGTTGCGAAAAGTTCGCCCCGATGTTGAATGAAAGGAAATTAAACATTTTCACTCGAGCTGCTTTTGTTTTCGAATCCCTCGGATAACAGTTGACCAGCACAAACAGATTACCAAAGTTATTCCCATTCGTATGTGAAGAGCCCGCAGTTGTTGCCCAAAAAGCAGTCGCATCCATTTGGCAGCGGATCAATCTTGCCCACAAATTGCTTCCATATTTGTCATATTTCTGGACCTCCATGCGTGGGGAAATTAAGCTCTCGGTCCAACGATAATGGGACAAAATAAAAGACACGTTTTGACCTTAAATTTAGCTTGGTATTTTGATACGCCTTCAAGTATAGTCCTGTACTTTTGTATTGTCCTGCTTTTACCAAAGCCGAAATCTATATTCCCGCCTCCCACACAAATGCGTACGTGTATTGGGCTGGAACGTATTATTTGATGCCATCCCTCATGTCTGATTTCTAGTCCATTAACTTTGAAGTTATTTGGCGATGCTACTTTAACACTTCAACGGATTTTGGACATTTCGCTTTCAATTTTGGTTGGTTCTATGAGTATTTGTGCCCTTTTATTTGGGTCTTTTCAATTGGTAAACGTTCTGTTTTTCTTAAGTTTTTTGAGTGCTCTTTGCACATCAGGCTAGAAATTTCAACCCCATTCTATGCAATAAAAGACTTAAAACTAAAATGTGCTCGTAATACCCAACCATCCAAGTATTACTTCACAGCCCCACGGTCTTAATTAGACGGCGATAATCCACACACAGTCACTTTGTCTCTTTCCTGTCTGTCTAATTGCATAAATTTGCAATTTGCAATTTGCGGCTGATCAATTATACAGTTTGTGCTTGGTAACCTGACCTAATTTAAGACATTGAAAACTGTCGAATTGTATGCGATAGTCTATTATATGGCTTGATTTAACTATCCTTACCTTTACGGGTAAGGAACACGGGCACTAATTGACTAAATCACAGCAACAACACGTTCTTCCGTAGACCGTTTTTCTCAGAACGCTTGCCACCTGTTAAACTCTGCAAAACTCTGTTAAACTCTGTTAAACTCTGTTAAAAATCATTCAAAAAATAAGAATAAGTATTAATGTATATTATAATATATGGATGTAAGCTGCGATTTTGTTTAATAGAACATAAAATCGATCATAAAATTGATGCAAAAATGTAAGAGAAGTATCAATTGGGCTTAATATGCTGATCCTAGTTGTTTTTGGTGCTCACTGTCTTATACACACATACATACATGCTTATACATATTTACAGAATGCATACTTACAGGCGCATAACGGAATTGACAGTGAAAATAGAATCATACAGCAAACCCATGCACATACACACACACACACACACACACACACTTACGCAAATTTCTCTTTCTCCCCTCCCAGTCACACACACACACACTCGCACACAATGAAGGCAATTGAGCAGAATCATTGCCGCTGGCAGTTTTCTTCAGAATGATTTAAGAGGAAGGCGGGTACTTCAACAGGCGACAACAACAACAACGAAAAAAAGAAACGACGACGTCAACGTCGACGTCAGCTTCGTCGTCGGCGTCGCTGTTGCCGATTCGCATACAACAAGTGGCAGCGAATACGACGCAGCTTCTGCTGCTGCCCTTTCACATCGCATTCCAAATCCTGACGCAGTCAAAGGCGCTTTGTGCGCGCCTCGTGCGCCGTACACAGCTTTTTTTCAGTGCGAGATGAAATCTCGTGGCTGATGGACGTGTTCGTGTCCACGTTTCCAGTGCTCCAACCGCCAGACACTTGTAGCACTTTAGTATTTATAACACAGTGCTCAGAAACACTCTGCTCCACTCAGTATTTTCTGTTCAATGCATTAAGAAAATGTAGTTCACAATCAGTATATAAAATATAATAAATCCATCTAATTGTGCTTGATTCAAGTTAAAAAAAAAAACCAAAACAAAAAAAATCTCTAAGTCTAAACTGAAAATATGTAATTTTTCAGAGAAACGAATGTAAGTCTAAAATTTAATAAGTACATTTTTTTTTAAATAAATATAAAACATTCTCGATTTGACTTCGCCCAATCTCTTAAAGTCTATAAATAACTATGGTTATATTATTTTCAAATCAAATTGTGCAGCTTTTCAATGTGTATTCATAAATATGTGTGCGACACAATATAATCAATATGAGCCCAAAATATTGTTCTAGTCAACGTAATTTCGTGCACAATGTATTTGTTTGCATTGCGTTAGCTCGAGTGCGTCGGGTCTTTGGGGCTTAGCTTTTATACAAAACATATTGTTCCCAAATATCAATTTATTTGCATTGGGCAAGTTAAATAGAAACTTTTCGCAGTCAATTATTGGTGGCATTCGAATCTGGCAAGTCGTTGACATCGCCACAAATGTTGGCCGAATATATCGAAATATCAAAATATTTCCATCAAGCTAAAGTCTTATTGTTTATTTCCTCATTTACTTGCAGCAAAAATACTTAAAATCTTCACCCCCAAATGCAGCAGAACCCACAAATTGATATAGCATCAACAGCTTGGATATTCAATCGTTATAGCTGCCATAAAACTACGCAACAGGAACGCAAATAATAAATTATTTGACAGGTAATTTGCATTTCTTTTCCTCATTTCAGAAACTAAAAATCGTTGTGAGAGACTCTTTTTAGTTGCAATAATTATTTAAAACCAAACTGAATGTAATATTATGAAGAGCTTGCCCTAGTTATGCCTTATAATTAGCTAATTTCCAGATGCAATAATTGCCGAAACACAGCAGCCAAGTAGACTTGTATATTTGACTAGCTCTGCGATGATTGAAACGTGACATAATTTGCTCTTAACGACCCTATATATATATATCTATATATATATGCATTTGTGCCTTACTCAGAGACGCGATTCAATGTCGTATCGCAAGATCAGGCTGGTTTTCATTAATATTTACTTAATATAAGATCTAAAAATGTTCGCTATTTAAACTTAGTTGCGTGCTTAGCTCAGGAAATCAACAATTTAACATTGGTCGTGTGGCGTCTGTTAAGTTTTGTGCAATTAACGCAGTCAACATACATATATAATATCAACAAGCATAAGAATCTAAGATCATGCACAAATATTAAGCTAAGCAATCCAGTCGCACGTGTTAGCGATAGCTTACATTTTTATCAAAAAATATCTATTTATTCTATTCAACTCCATTCCATTCTATTCAACTCCATTTATTCTATTCTATTCAACTCCATTTTATTATATTCTATTTTATTCTATTCTATTCTATTCCATTCTATTCTATTCTATTCTATTCAATTCTATTCTATTCTCTTATATTCTATTCAATTCTATTCCATTCTATTCTATTCTATTCTATTCAATTCTATTCTATTCTATTCTATTCTATTCTATTCTATTCTATTCTATTCTATTCTATTCTATTCTATTCTATTCTATTCTATTCTATTCTATTCTATTCAAATCCATTCTTTTCAATTCTATTCCATTCTATTCTATTCTATTCTATTCTATTCTATTCTCTTATATTCTATTCAATTCTATTCTATTCTATTCTATTCTCTTATATTCTATTCAATTCTATTCTATTCTATTCTATTCTATTCCATTCTATTCTATTCTCTTATATTCTATTCAATTCTATTCTATTCTATTCAATTCTATTCTATTCTATTCTATTCTATTCTATTCTATTCAATTCTATTCTATTCTATTCTATTCTATTCAATTCTATTCTATTCTATTCTATTCTATTCTATTCTATTCTATTCTATTCTATTCTATTCCATTCTATTCCATTCTATTCTATTCTCTTATATTCTATTCTATTCTATTCCATTCTATTCAAATCCATTCTATTCAATTATATTCCATTCTATTCTATTCTATTCTATTCTATTCTATTCAATTCTATTCTATTCTATTCTATTCTATTCTATTCTATTCCATTCTATTCTATTCTCTTATATTCTATTCAATTCTATTCCATTCTATTCTATTCTATTATATTCTATTCTATTCTATTATATTCTATTCTATTCTATTCTATTCTATTCTATTCTATTCTATTCTATTCTATTCTATTCTATTCTATTCTATTCTATTCTATTCTATTCTATTCTATTCTATTCTATTCTATTCTATTCTATTCTATTCTATTCTATTCTATTCTATCTATTCTATTCTATTCTATTCTATTCTATTCTATTCTATTCTATTCTATTCTATTCTATTCTATTCTATTCTATTCTATTCTATTCTATTCTATTCTATTCTATTCTATTCTATTCTATTCTATTCTATTCAATTCTATTCTATTCTATTCTATTCTATTCTATTCTATTCTATTCTATTCTATTCTATTCTATTCTATTCTATTCTATTCTATTCTATTCTATTCTATTCTATTCTATTCTATTCTATTCTATTCTATTCTATTCTATTCTATTCTATTCTATTCTATTCTATTCTATTCTATTCTATTCTATTCTATTCTATTCTATTCTATTCTATTCTATTCTATTCTATTCTATTCTATTCTATTCTATTCTATTCTATTCTATTCTATTCTATTCTATTCTATTCTATTCTATTCTATTCTATTCTATTCTATTCTATTCTATTCTATTCTATTCTATTCAATTCTATTCTATTCTATTCTATTCTATTCTATTCTATTCTATTCTATTCTATTCTATTCTATTCTATTCTATTCTATTCTATTCTATTCTATTCTATTCTATTCTATTCTATTCTATTCTATTCTATTCTATTCTATTCTATTCTATTCTATTCTATTCTATTCTATTCTATTCTATTCTGTTCCATTCTATTCTATTCTATCATAATCTTTTCTATTCTATTCTATTCAATTCCATTCTATTCTATTCTATTCTATTCAAACGTTTGAAATAAGTTATATTTTTTGAAATATAGCAATAATTGAAGTAGAAATTGTTTTAAACAGTAAGTAGAGCTAATTTAAAGGAAAGAGTGTAACACATTCGACTTGACGGCATTTGCGATTATTTTATTTTTTTGTGTTGTTCTCGTCTACCTTTCAGCTGCGCAGCTGAGCATAGGGCACACGCGACGTATGCGCATTGTATAAATTAAATATTATTTACAATTGAAATTGATGAATCAAAATAAGGTTGTCGGCATTAAATCTCTCATCCTTCTATCACTCGTTTCGAAAAAAGAGCGTTTTAAACTTTACAAATCTGCATACATTTTTAATTGTGCTGCCGGCTTTAGTTTTTTCTCACGCTTAGAAAAGAATCGCATGCCCAATGCTAATAAATACCTAGAAATATTAATATAAGACACTTTTAAAATGCATTCATTCGAAATATGAACACATTAAAGCTGCGGGCTGTCTGAAAAATCAACGACTAACACGCGCGAAAATCTAAAACAAAAATTAAATAATAGCAACAAGTTGTTGTGTTGCACTAAAAAAATCGTTAAAAAAGCGCCAAGCGACACGCTCATGATTTTAGTTTCAGTTCAGAGTCCCGACTTGTCGGCAGAATCCGTACAGATCACGCCTCAGTAGATCCATACGTAAAGTGAAAGTTTCTGATAACCAAACTATTTTACAAAATATATATACCATGCGACCCATAAAAACCATTATCAAAACATAAGCAAAGTGAAACATATTGAGAAAAGTACAAGAATTTACTTTAAAAAAATATATAAGCAAAACGTGCGGTAAGAATACTAAGCAGTGGTAAAATGAAATGTTAAAAACTTGGCAAATATATATAGAATTAATTATGATTCAATTATATTTGATATTTAGGGGCATAGATCAATGTCTCTCGTGGAACCCATGCTGTCCAACAAAACACGTTCCACAGTCGATTGTGCCAACTCTTTTTAGATCGATTAAGTCAGATGTACCCAGATAAACAAAGTATTTAAGTACAGCCCATGTTTATCACGTGTTTGTTTTCGCATCTTGACTAAGAACTCAAAAACGTTCAATATTCTAGTTCGCTGTATTAGGCCATTTAAAATCATCTTCAAAGAACTTCCATCTGCCATCTGCCATCTGCCATCTTCCATCTTCCATCTTGTTCTCAGTTAGGGCAGCGTTTTGATTTAATTGACTGCAAGTTAATTCAATTTTTGATAGTCGCACCCAGCACTTAAGGCTGAAGTCAAAATTTGTCAAACAGACATAAAAAGAAAACTCCTTCCAGTCACGAACAACGGTGTGTGTGTGTGTGTGTGTATGTGTGTGTGGGGTGCGAGGGTGTGTGTGTGGGGTTGTGTAAACGAATTAGATGTAGAATTCAATTTGAATTTGCGACGCGCGCCTTGTATTACAAAGTTTGTAAATTGTAAAGACCAAATGCAAATGTTGCGAGGCTCGAAGGGCCAATTATATAAATATTTAAATTTGGCCACATTGTCTTATAAATGCATTGCAATTATTATATTCGAATTAGAGTTGTTGTGTGAAACTGAAAAGTCTGTGAAAAGCATTTTTTAATTTGCACGCCCCCGAATGCAGTACAATAATTGAATTAAAATTAAAAAAAGAAAAACAAAACCGAGACATATAATTTAGTTTTAATTAGCGTAATCATTGGAGCGTTACACAGGCGAGGGCAATTGCTACCCAGCCCAAGCGGCTTACTTTTTGATTACATTTTAAAGACAATCCTCTTAGCGCACAAATCTGACAAGACGTTACGCTTCTACTTCTTCTTCTTCTTCGTTTACCCTAGCAACAAGCGGCGGGCGACGCAATGCAATCATCGACTGATGCGGGCAATAATGGCACACGTAAATATACAGCACAACAGCAACAACAGTCGCAACCATCGGCAGGAGCAGGAGCAGGAGCTGGAGCAGTAGCTGGAGCTGGAGCAGGAGCTGGAGCAGAAGCAGCGCCGGCTGCAACAAACCAAACAACGTCTTTTACCGTAAATGACAACAGTCAGCAGCAACGGACGAGCATAGGCAACACAATCTCTAGCAAAAATCCGTTCAAACAACAGTTGGAAAGCAATAAGCAGAATGGCAACATGGAAGCAGACTACGGCATTATGGGAACAAGCGGAGCAGTCGGCACGGACCAACAGCTGGCATCGCCAACAAACCAGGAACAGCTTTATGCATCACGCAAATTGACAGGCGGCGGTCAACCGCCGCCGGATCAATATCGACAGGAGGATCCACGTGCAGCCGGTACTTGGTCTGCTGCCAAAACATGGATGGTCAGCTGGCGGGGCTCCAACCGGCTCGTTCTGGTCATTGTTGCCATAGCTCTCCTGCTGGACAACATGCTACTAACAACTGTCGGTAAGTGCAGCCCAATCTTACATTCTTTAAATACAAATCGTAAAAGCCGCATATTTCTGCTAGCCATTAGCATTTCATGGCCATTTATCTTGGCAGCCACTTGACAATGCCAGGCAATCACCTGGAAATTATTCATTTTCATTTCCAGATAGGTTCTTGGCACTCCTTTGGCCATAAAATTACCACAAAGCGCCACTTAAGCTAATGAATGTTGTCTTGGCGTCAGTCACTCACCACCTGGCTTTCAGTTCATCAATTCAACTGTCGTTGAGTGATGCCAAGGGATTTTGATTAGCTGCGGGATTTGCTTTAATAGTACTACATCTCTTCTTCTAAAAAATATATTTATATATATATATGCCTAATCAATTATATTCATATTTATGCACACATGCACACATTTGTATTCTCGAGTACAATAGCCATCAATCGATAAACACATTCCTTGTTCGTAGTCCTTTATACGAACGCAACTCAAAGGAACCCAAACCAATTCTGTTAAGCGAACTCAACAAATTTTCAACCAAGCACAGCAACTAATCAATTGTTGGAGTACCAGTGTGATTTGCCCGTCATTATTAAAAGCCGACACGGGCAGAGTCAGAGAGGGATTGGGATTGGGATTGGGAATGGAGATACTCAAAGTGCGGACAGTCAATTAAATAGACACGCGACCATTGCTACTGCGTGTGACACTAAATCTACGCAGGGGAAGGACGTTGCTGGCCAACGGTCGAGCCAAGTGCTTATGTCAAGTGTCTGGACAAACACGTGGACATCAAGTGGCCGAGGGCCGATGAACAGACGGACAGACGGACAGACGGACCGACGGACTGCAGCTGTACTCCAGTCTGACCAATGTTTGCTGCGGCTGACAACACAAATAGCGCTTGAAGTTCCTTATTCTTCTTTGTGTTAAACGTTCATGAAATTATATCAACAAGTAGGAAGTAGCCAGCCGAAGACAAATAGCTAGGCGAATGCGAATGCGAATGCGGCGGCACTTAAGCGACGACTTGTTGAAAGATACGGACGAAGAAGTCAAAGCAAAAGTGGAAAAATGCTCATGGAGCGCGCAAAAGTCAAAGTGTTGGCTCAACCCCAAAAAGAGAAGCAGCCATCCGGACCCCAGGACTCAGCTAACGCTCGATGCTTTTCTAGTTTCCGTACTCCTGTCCGTCCGCCTGTCCGCCAGTCTTTGTTACAGCAAATCAAAGTTAGCTCTGAATGCCGCATGGCAAGGGGTGTATGTGGTTAAGTGCTGGATTAGGGGAGAGGTTACGGCAAATATGCTTTTAGCGTTTGACTTGAGGCATTTCCACTTAAGTGCTTTCACTTCGCCGTTAAAGGTGTTGAAGTGAAAATTGCAAGAAATACATGCTTATTACATTTGATCTTCGGCAATGAGCATAAAATTCTCATAAATTTGATTAAGCTGCGAAAAGGGGCTCCTCGAAGGAGACGACGTCTTACGAGCATTGCTTAGGTGACTTTCTTGATTTATGTATGGGTCAGAGTCTTATCTGTAAGTGCTTTATTGCATAAATAAACAATAGTTAAAGTGTGTACATATATAGTTTGCTGGTTTGTTTGTTAATGCACATGTGAGAATCTTATAGCCGGCAGTACTCGGCTACTAGATACCTCGCATCCTGCTTTAAGTTCTTGGTGGAACTTAAAAGTCAATATTTCGATTTTAGCAATAGTTACTTTATTTAATATACACCAAAATAGTGCATAATTAGAGAGTTCGAGCTAAAATACTTTGTACAAAGTTTTTGTAATATTGGGAAATTGCAAATTAGTGTAACCAGACCTTATCAATGACAAAAAACCTTAAAATGTATAAATTTCTGTGATGCCAGATCGCCGCAAGTTCGTAAACCACAAGTTCGCATATAAAATGTATGTATTTTATTGCTTATGTGCATTTGTACAAATGAACAGCAAGAAAAAAAACTTATATAATTTCTTATAATTTTTTTTTTTTTAACTTGCGTGTATTAGTATCCATAATTCAATAGAGTAGTAAGCAATGTGTGCCTTCATTTCTTTTACGGCTCAGCCATATTTTTCGTGATTTGCTTTTCCGACGTATCAAATTTCTCTAGAGAGGCTGCCGATCGATTTTTAATGGGCGTGGTCCCCAATGAACGTGCCTTGATAGCGCTATTGATACTCTCCGGCGTTGGATTGAGCAGCTGATGAAAACTGTCGGATTCGTTCCTTGTAAGGGAAGCACTGCGCGCAAAGGGAAAGTATTCATTAAGTTGTCGCTCCATAACATCCTTATTGATGGTGGTCTCCCAAATTTGGTTTTGGATTATGCTGCTGTAGCGTGCCTCAAAGCTGTGCTGATGGCGCAACAGATTCGATGCACCACGTGCGTTTGTGCTGTGTGCAAGTTTGGGCTCCCACTCCGTTGCCCGTTGGGCGGGCTTGGACGTGGTCGGCTTTAGGGGACTGCCCACGTTGTGCTCATCCGTTGACATTTGCCAGTCGTACTAATTACCGGAAAATTAAATACAAAACTTATGCTTGTTAACCGGAATAGCACTTGGTATATCGTTGCCGAGCTTTGCAACCTTCCGCGTGGGCCTCAGAATCGCGAATAAGTCACGGCAGGCATTCGACTGTCTTGTTAAGCAACTATTCTTAGCCGTTTTCCCTACCAAACAGGCAAAAACTCAAATGTCAGACAAAAGTTTTATTTTAGCTGCGTTGTAATTGCGAGCGTGCCTTTTGTCTTTTGGAAAAAGTTTTTCGAGGCCTTTGGGGTTGCTAAAGATTGATGTTATGAGCGTGGTGCCTTCCTCAGCACGAGCCTGCCAAGCGACAGGTTATCCACCGCCAAAGGTCACAAAGTGCTGTCGTTTTTGGTGTCGCCTTCGATGCTGCTATGGTAAAATGACAGGTGTGCCAGGTGTCAGAGGTGCCCTCTCTCCTCTCAGAACTACGGCCCTATTTTTGATATACCATATATTATGTCAATAATTGATTTATGACCCTTAATGCATTGCCATTAAAGTCTATAATTATAATAACATCCAAGCGGAAAGCAGTCCATTACGTATTTAAAATAAAATTAAAAAAAAAATACATTAAGTATTATTGTATATATGAATATCAAATTAAAATCTAGTTAATTTCATAAATATTCCCCCCCAACTATCTAAATTGCTAATATTACACTCTCAGGAGATTACTTTGATAGCTCGGAGAGCTCTTGAATAAAATCTAGAAAGAATAAATCCAGTTAATTTAGCCATATTTTAGAAAGCAAGAAAACCCCTAACGCCAAATAAAAATCTAGCTAAATTCATAAATATTCCCTTAAACATTAGACTTTGTTAATATGCGATGCTCGGCCGATTACATCAGAAGCCCATTAAGCGGGGAATACGCGTAGAAGTGAAGGCCTAATCTTAAAAAAATGTACAATGACAGGAAAGTATAAAATAAGTAAAAAGTCCAGACCCTTAAAGAAATGAAAGGATACTTTACTATTCCTTAAAGAAACAAATATACCTTTTAATTAAAGCGCTTAAAAATATAATTCACTAAAACTAGCGCTTAGCGCATCCTCGTTACTCGATGCTGCCAGGAGCAGGCCCTTCTTGGGCAGACTTGGCATGAAGATATGCAGCTGCTTACGACTGTCCTGTTGGGTTGCGTTCAATCCGCGACTGCTGTGCGGCGGAGTACGTGCGTCTTTCGCCGTGGGTGCTGCAGCAGTGCCATGATATAACCTGGCCGATGCCAACTGTCCGGCCATGCGACGCGTCGTGCTGGCGCTGTTGCTTAGCGCACAAAGATCAATGTTGCGCGGCGGACGATTGAGGCGGACGGGCACTCCCTCCTTGTTAAAAATGATGGTTATCGGCTTGGCATTGGATGAGTTGGCGCAGTAATTCATTACCGCTTGCTTTGTCGCGGGCTTCCTAGGCGCTTCACGCGGTGCAAGTGTTCCCGTAGCACTACGTTTTAGGGCCATGCCACGTTGGTTATGCCGACTGATTCGATGGCTCCTCGATAGCATTGCGCTGCTGCTACTGACTGGCACTGGTGTCGATGCTTTGACAATATCCGCACGACCTGCCAAGTCCAGCCAATTGATCACACGTTCCGCAAGACGCTCCTCCGGATTGACTGTACTCGTGACCAGTGAATCCTGAAGCGAACTACGCCGTGAATGCGGCTGATGATCCGCAAGGTGGTCCAGCTGGTAACCCTTATCGCTGCTCAGCAGCCAGGCACGTCGCTTCGAATGACGCCTGCTGTGCAGCACGGTGAAGGCAGCTTGGACTTTGTTGGACATTACGCCTTGGGTCTGGCAAACTTGCTGTTGGTGCTGCAGCGTAAGCTTGGTCGCGTCCAATAGCAGATACTCATTCAAGCTATAATCAGCGTAATTCTCTGTTGCCGTTGACTTTCCGTTAAGCTCGTTCGATTCGCTTTCATAACTGATGTCTGTCCAAATTTGATAAGTTTGGTTGAATTTGATTGGAGCTCCATCAAAGGATATTCGTTTTACTTACCAGCTCGCTTGGCGTTTTGTCGTTGGCACTGAATCCACCGCTGACGCTCGTGCGGCTCATAGTCGAGTATAAAGTGGCGTCGGTGGCTGCGCCCAGTATCCCCGATCCTCTCCAGCCAGACGGAGCGCACGAACAAGGGTCGACTGGCCGACTCCCAAATGGAACGAGATGGCCGTCGCATGGTCTCCTCTGGTTATCCTCTCCACCATAAATCAGAGTCCCTACCTATTACTTATTATGCAGAACAACAAATGCAAGCTGATTTCGATTGTCTCGCAGTCCCTGCTGTCCTCATAGTTACTGTCCTCGCTGTCGTCTGCCTCAACCGCCGGTTGCTGTCCCACTGTTGTCGCTGTTTGCCTGACGACGCCAACAACGCTACCGCAAAAAAAAACTTCATTTCACTAGGGATGGCCAAAAGTCACGGAATCGGAATCGCCTCGAGCTAAAGAGTGATTTTTTCCCAAACTTATAATGCATCAAATTTCGCAGCAATTCATGACCGTCTTTGGTCTTAAGTAAATGGTAAACCCTATTTTATTCGAATTACCAATAATCATGTGGAAAGCTTAAAATTTGTTTGCTTAAAGTATCGACTGATCAAGTAGCTGATTCAGAGATCATTTTGTTTTATTGGGCGCTGGAGTCGGGGTTCTGCTAAAGACCTAGCGAAAGATTTTTAATATGGAGCATAGTTAAAAGATTATGTAGCTAATATACTTTCCTTTGTCGTTGGGCTTTAGTGGAAGCTACAAGCCTGTCCAGAACAAATACAAGAGCCAAGAGCAAAAATTAGATAGACAATTGTAGCTACAAGGCAGCATTAATTGGATGAAGTGCATCAGGCAGGTAGGACAATCAATTCTATATATGTATGTTAATTTTTACTCTAAGACTTGTAAAAGTTGATGTCATTTGTATCCTGTATCCTGTTCAGTATTGAAGATTTCGTAGCGTACAGTTAAGACTGTGGAATTATACTTACACAATCTTTCCTTTTGGCCAGTCCCTGGTCGTCATGGTTTTTTTTGTCTGGTCGCCCATCACCCGCCGCTTGCTTTTTGCTTTGCCTTGCGGCTTAAGTGTCTTCGACACGCGACATGTAACCCAAACAACCCATGCCCAAACCCCTTTTCCTTAATGCTCGACTCCATTAACCGCTTTACAGTTGCACGTGCCTTTCAATATTTGTATGTCAAAAACTGGGAGGCAGTTTAATGACTTGTATGGTACCACAAAATATCAATTATTTACTCCTCAAAATAGTTAATTATTTGTGGTGAATTATAAAGTCAATTAAAACAAAAACTCTTTAAATACATTTCTGCTTGCTTACTTTTTGGTTTGAGTTATTATACCATTGCAGAGGGTATTATAATTTTGTCGTGAAATGTGTAACGCATATAAGGAGACATCTCCGACCCCATAAAGTATATACATATATTCTTGATAAGCATCAACAGCCGTGTCGATATAGCCATGTCCGTCTCTCCGTCTGTCCGTCTGTCCATCTGTCCGTCTGTCTGTTTCTATGCGAACTAGTCTCTCAGTTTTAAAGCTATATTTATGAAACTTTGCAGAAGTCCCTCTTTCTGTTGCATGCAGCACATATGTCAAAACCAGCTGGATCGGACCACTATATCATATAGCTGCCATAGGAACGATCGGTCGAAAACTAGGTTTTTGATTAAAAACCTTTTTTGTTAATCAAGATATCTTGACCAAACTCGGCATTAACTATTTACCCTGTGCTTCTAGATACGGGCAAATCACTATAAGTATTATGAAAAGGTTCGGTCTGCAAGGGTATTAGATCTTCGGCGTGCCGAAGATAGCCTTTCTTTCTCGTTTTCATTGTATTGTGGGTGTGCCACTAATTGGAATGTCAAGTTACATATCAAACATACATATGTGGGAGATAGTAGTAGGATATATACAGACATACATATGTACATAGATGCAGACAATTCTACCATTCCGCTCAATTCTACCATTCGTCTTGTACTCTAATTCTTGCAGGAAGAGCTCCTTGTCTCGCTCATACATGCATAAACTTATTGTCAATTCTCCTTTAGTCTGTTAGCATGACTCAGTCGCGATCGATCGACGCTTAGGTACCCCTACCAATTATAACGAGCTAAATTGCAAGAATTTCGCATCGAAGTGGAAAACGCATTCATTATTTCATATTACTCGTCCCTTCAAAAGGAAAGAAATGCCTCCGACATTTGAAAAAATATTGAATTTTTGAGCATTTTTGCTTGTGAGGACACATACACACAAAAACATTAAAACGGTACCTAGACATAATAAACGAGCACTAAGAATAAGCCAAAGCAGTTGCCGGGAGTGGGAGCGAGATAAAACGACAGCAATGCCTTTCTATCGCACAAATCATTTGTACTTTTTACTCTATTGCTGTCTAAGCATGCGGGCGTGTCTCGAATCCGAACAAAAACGAAGGCGAGCTTGGACCAGAAATTCAGCGATTTTGAATGTTCGCTTTCATTGTACTGCATGTCTTATCTACCTGTTGTTTGTTTAGTGCCTTAAGTGAATTAGGATTAGAATTATGTTGGTGATTTTGGATGGCGAATGTCACATTCACTGGCCTTTCTATAACCATGTGAATGTAAGCAATAGTTAGGTGTATAACTTGGACTTAACGTAATACTATAAATCGCCATAAAACTCTATAAACATGGGGATTTAATAAGCTTATACGTTTCCACGCTTCTTTCCAAGCTATTAACGTCATTCATAAGAGTCTAATCGATAAAAACATTACTACAATTCTCCCTTACATATGTATGTATATATCCCTTTGGGCATATCAATTTGATTTGTTAAACAGCTACCAAATCAACCGCAATGCTGTCTAGTTACCATCCACAAACTATGACAACAACACTTCAAACTGAGGCAACTAAAACAACGATAAGCAGGGACTACAGCTATCGCCGAACACTCAGCAACTTGCAAATCCAATTGAAACGAGAAAGAAGGGCATCCTTCGGCATGCCGACGATTTAATACCCTTGCCCAACTTTTTCATTAGCTCATAGTGCATTGCCCGTATTAAAGAAGCACAGGGAGAAAAGTTAATGCCGAGTATGGTTAAGATATCTAGAAAAAAAAAATTGTCCATGCAAGAGCTACTTTTCGATCGATCACTCCAATGGCAGCTATATGATATGGTGGTCCGACGTTGATAGGATTTTGCAAAAATGTTAGGAGCATAGTAAAACTAATAAATGCCGAGATTGGTCAAGATATTTTATAAATAAAAACGTTTTTCATACAAGAACCCATTGAAGGATCGTTCCTATGGCAGCTATATGATATAGTGGTCCGATCCAGTTGGTTCCGACATATGTACTGCGTGCAACAAAAAGAGGCACAAGATCAAGATTATATATAGTTATATTTAAGTAGATGTATCCTTCTATGCGTTACACATTTCAACAATTATAATACCCTCTGCAAGGGCATAACAACACCTCACACATGAATGCAATTGCAGCTACGAAACAAGCACTTGCCAAGGTGGGTCTAGACTGGGTCTGCAACGGATACCGCTGGCTAAGGGTGTTGATAATAAATATAAACAGAGTCAAAACATGCAATAAACAAATTCAATTTCCTACAAAAGGGTAATGGTTGAGTTCCTTTTAAGTCGGCGCTTTTGTGCGAAAGGGAAAAAGGGAGCAGCCAAACCGAGCTCCACTTGAAGCGCTTCCGCTTCCGTGTCTCAACAGCAAGGTGTACGCGGCGTATGCGCAATTTGTGCAAGCTTGTTGGCGTGGCCGAACAACTCAATTAGACCGTGCAATCTGCTTGCTGCAGAAATGCCTAGAAGCCATTATAAACTTTAAGTAACAACAATTTTGCGGGCCTTTAATACAATTAGAGAAGCGGCTGGAGAAAATTGCTTTGCTAGCGTCATCTAACTGCAGGCCGTTAGGCTAATTGTAGCTAAATTCTTTGTTGCAACTCAATTACAAAACCATTAACCGACTCTTTCTATTTCATAGTGCCCATCATACCCGAGTTCTTGTACGACATACGACATCCGGACGCACCTCTCGACAGTTACCCACGCACGCCTCTCACCCTGGCCACTCCACCACCGCCAACGTCCTGTCCATGTAAGGAGGGTGGCAATGATGTGGTGGTGCCGATCGAGGTGTCCACGCCGAGCGCAGAAGGTAAGCACGGTAATTGGGTGGAGTTCGGGCAATGAAACTTCTGCATCTTCAATAGAAAATGAAACATACTACCGGGAGCTAGAGGAACGGCACAATGAATTGGTTGGCGAAACTGTGGAAGTTGGTTTGCTCTTTGCATCGAAGGCCATTGTACAACTGTTGGTTAATCCGATTGTAGGACCATTGACCCATCGGTGAGGAATTGCTTGAATGGGTTTCTTAATATAAGTTCCATCATAATTCTTAACCTTTCCTTTAACATTTCAGTATCGGCTACAGCATACCCATGTTTGCCGGCTTTGTGATTATGTTCTTGTCAACGCTGAGTAAGTATAAGATGAATTTGCTTTGGCTGTATTTTTTAATTTGTTCGTCTAGTTTTCGCCTTTGGTCGTTCATACCTGGTACTCTTCATTGCCCGAGCCCTTCAGGGCATTGGCTCATCGTGTTCCTCGGTCTCTGGAATGGGCATGCTGGCAGATCGTTTCACAGACGACAAAGAACGTGGCAATGCCATGGGCATAGCCCTGGGTGGACTTGCGCTCGGCGTGCTCATAGGACCGCCCTTTGGTGGCGTTATGTATGAATTTGTTGGCAAGTCGGCCCCATTTCTGGTGTTGGCTGCACTGGCACTAGGCGATGGTTTGCTGCAACTATTCATGTTGCAACCGTCAATACAGAAATCAGAGTCGGAGGAGCCACCGTCCCTGAAGAGTCTGATCAGTGATCCTTACATTTTGATAGCTGCTGGTGCAATCACCTTTGCTAATATGGGAATTGCTATGCTAGAACCGTCTTTGCCGTTGTGGATGGTGGACAATATGGGTGCAACGCGTTGGGAACAAGGTGTGGCATTTTTGCCCGCTTCTATTAGCTATTTGATTGGCACTAATCTGTTTGGACCACTTGGACACAAAATTGGAAGATGGTTTGCCGCCTGCCTAGGACTGGTTATCATTGGCGCCTGTTTAATCTTTGTATGTACATCCATCAGATTGCCAGCATAATTTTAGAAATGCTTCTCCTTCTCTTCAGATACCCATGGCTACCTCTATCACGCATCTGATTATTCCCAATGCTGGTCTGGGCTTTGCCATTGGTATGGTGGACTCTTCGATGATGCCGGAGCTGGGCTATCTAGTCGATATACGGCACTCGGCCGTCTATGGCAGCGTCTATGCCCTGGGCGATGTGGCCTTCTGTGTTGGCTTTGCCGTCGGTCCAGCTCTCTCGGGATCACTTGTGAAAAGTATTGGGTTCGAATGGATGTTATTTGGCATCGCCATCCTGTGCTTCTTGTATGCGCCGCTGCTAACCTTCCTCAAGAACCCACCCACCAGCGATGAGAAAAAGGTGCGTATGGCTATCGAGGCTGCTGCTGCAGAAGCAGCCGCCGGTAATTCGATTGCTCAAATAATGACATCCTGTCCGGCTATCATGCACGATACTTTGACGGATGCAGGCAAGGCGAATGAGGCTTTTGAAAGTGAACGATTATGAGCTCTTAATTTATGTTTTGAATTTTTAATTTAATTAAAACTTACTATTTGTATAATCTAAGGCTATTTCGTCTCTTTACTTGCAATATGCAATATGTCTACAACAATAAGATGCTAATTTAAAATATTTTCATTTCTGTACATTAAATAAGTATAATTTGTTTTCTATTTACATAAGTGTTGTCATAATTATTGTACATATAAACTCTTTTTGATTTAATGAATACATAATATATATAATAATATATGTTTAGTTTCGCTGCCGTATATTTTCATTTTCTTCCATTATTGCCTCAATGTTTACACATTCACTTGGTCAGAACATTTTTAAAGTATTAACAAATGCACCTCTTAACTTTTACAGTCATTAATTTATGGACGCGACCGCTCACAGGTACGTTATGTAACCTACCAAAACTACGATGACGATGAATAAATTTTCCGAATAATACAAATATTTCTTGGCAATGTCAGTTAAAATGACAAAAAAATGTTGAAAAAAAAAATTAACGAAGCAGAAAAAAAAATAAACAAGCTAAAAATATACAACCAAAAATATCAATAATATCATATGAACTGAATTAAATTGTTATAACTGTTTAAAGAAAAACAAAGCTAAACTTAAATCCTACCCTCTGCTTACAACAAGAACCACAAAATATGGACCAATCTTTAGCTACAATTTAATTAAAAGAATTCTATCAGATAGATGTCAGTATATTTGTATTTCTTTTATTTATTCTTTTCTAAACAAATGACAATGAAATGAAAGAGGAAAAAATATTTAAGTGATTAGAAATGATTATTGATTCTTACAACTGAAAAAATGGCAAGCGAAACAAATTTTAAAGTCATTAAGATTTCAACATTTAATAAACATATAAAGAAACATAAAATTTAAAAAAAATTCCTAAAAAATATAAAAAAAATTATTTAAGATTTAATCAGCATAAAAAAATAGCAACATTTAGAAAAAACATAAAGAAAGCAGGAATGTTTTTCCAAGTGCTTATTTATACATATAGACATATATATGCATATATATATACATATATATATATATATATATATATATGTACATTTTACTCCCAGAAAGGAAGGTATTTGCGTGTACAATGTGACAAGTGTCAGCGTCCGGAATTGCATTGATTTACTGTGAATTCCAAAAACTAGTTGACTAGAACGAATTTGTATTTAAAGTAAATGTATGTTATATTAAAATAATACTAGCGAATAGGACGCGAAATGTTTGAAATTGACATAAGACGGCAGACGCAATATTGAGCACGAATCCAAAAAATGTATAAAAATATTTGTGGCTGGTACAGCGTACAAATAACTGAAAAATGTAGCTATATATAGCCATGCATGACAGTTATCCTGACGTTATATCAGCCGCAAATATTTGGTTTTCCAATTTATAAACGCATCGTGCGCAAGTTATCCGCATAGACATTGATGTTGACATTATAGGGCATGGCAACCGACTCCTCATTGCGGGAACCATGGCTGCCGCAGCTGCGCCTCCTCTCGTGAACTGGACATGCGGCGGGCGAGGCATTGCGCACCCGCACCTTATTCAGCGAGAACTCCGTATCCTCACCTACGGGTTGCGATGTGGTAATGCGTATGGGCATGTTGTTGATGCGCGTGTGTATGGGCTGACTGGAGCTGACGGGCATGCCGTTCACGTGAAGATTAAGTAATTTACGCTCATTCAGGCGAGTAGCGGACAGACGTCGTATACTGACGTTGCTGCCACTCCCGAGCACACAGGCATTGAAATTCGAGCTTCCCGAGCTGCGGCGTTCCAGTGTTCTAGCTGGCGGTGCCTCATACTGCGGCCGCTCCGGCAGTGGACTTGTTTGCCGCTTAAGGCAACGCAACGTTGTCAGATTCCGAGTGCAATTTTGCAACCGCTCGGCTCGTGCCGTCGGCGTGCTGGAACTAGCTGCGGACTGATGGACATAGCAGGGCACCATGCCTGGCAGACGATCAGTCGAAGCTGGCCTGTAGAGATGTGATGTCATAATTACAGGTGATGCAACTGACGTGGGCAGAGACGTGGCACGCATTGGCAGACGCAGTTGTCTATCCTGCCGCAACTGCTCCTGGTAGCAACGTATACGTTCGTACTCTCTTTTGCGCTGAGCCTCCCGCTCTAGCCCACGAAGCCTCTGCCTTTCCCGCTCCGCCTCTATCTCCATCAGCCTGTCGTGATCGCGCTGTCTTTCCAGCTGCCTCATGCGCTCGCGTTCCTGATCACGCAGCCGCATACGCTCTTGTTCTTTTTGCAGCTCTTGCTGACACACCTGTTCCATACGCTTTCGCTCCAGTTGCACCTGCAGCCGTTTGGCTATCAAAAGATCTTGTTCACAGCTACCCATGCGCCTCGAATTAGTCTGGACCTGGGCTTCGGGTAAGCTAAACTTGGACAGACGCTTGTCAATGACAAAACTTTCGGAGCTGCCAATGCGCGCCGTAGATTTATGTACCTTATAATTGTCCGTATTGTTGTGAAGGCAGGAATCCGTTTCAATCTTAATTCGCAAACTCTTGTCCAGCTCTGCCTCAGAGTCGAGTCCATTTATGTTAATGTTGATCGCACAACCGCTGCAATTGCTGGCGCTGCGCCTCGGCTCCACCTTAAAAGTGCACGTAGAGTAATTTTTTTCCGGCTCCCTTAAAGAGCTAACGGAGGCACTTTTGCCAGCTCTGCGAGCTACGTTTGAGTTAGCGGTGCTTTGCCTGATTGTGGTAAAGCTCTGGCCACGCCGCATCGTCTGATACTCATCTCGATTGCAGCAGGTGCGCAACAGTGGGAAGTGAGAGACCGCATCGGGCGGACTGCTAAAGAGCTGGCGACGAGGCACCGATACTATATCCGGCTTTCGCGGCTCAGTGGACACCACGTGGACGCTATTAGCTTTGGTTGGCAACGAGGATATGCACTTGAAATCATGCAAATACCTGCGACGTCTGTGCTCAGCAAAGGTACTCGTCGCCGGAGCAGCAGCCTTGGCTTCTTGATACCTGGTGATGAACCTTGGATTCTGGTAATAGGTCTCGAAGGTTGGAGGCTTCGGCTGCGGCGGCTGGGGTCGTTGATAATGCTGAACCTGATAGACGGGTCGTTCAGCGTAACGAAAGTTGTACGATTGAATTTTGAACGGATCGTTGTAGAAGACATCCGTAGACTGGCGGCGTGTATAAATGCTACTGGTAGCATCTGTCGATAAGAAGGCCTTGAAAATTGGCTCATTTCAAAAATATCAATTGTCAAATATACTTACAATGACCGCGATTCATTTTATGCAATAAATTTTGTGCTTTTTAAGGACTTTGGCCAAAGTTTTGCAAAATATTGCGCAATCATCTAGATTTTTTTTTTTCAAAAATATTGTTCATGCCAAAAAAGAAAATTTTGTCAACGACGACTTTGTTTACACGGAGAACCAATCATTTTGGATTTGATATCATCATCTACTTCAAAGTTCGGCCTTTGGGGCGCACATTAAAACTCTATCAGCAATAGGACGAAGCATTTGTGCAGCAATTCGGTTGTCCAAAACCAGCCTTCCTTAAGCAAATCAATTTAAAACAAAATAAATCATATTAAATGTATTCAAAGTATATATAATTGATTTTCAAAATGTTTATGTAACTGTCTTTAAATAAACATAAATAACATACATATATTTATATTAATAACTATGTAGCTACACTTACAATATATCTGACGCAATGAGGGAACTACACCTAAGTCTTACAATATTAGGTATTCTTTACATTTGAAAGTATTATTCTTAAAACATATGCGCGTACAAATAGTAACATCACTTTTTCATTAGTAAAACAGATCAATTGGGTCCCTCGGATACTTCCGCGAGTTACTTGAATGGCTGCAAGTTTCTCCAAGCGTTGTAAGCCCCGAACGGCTACGTAAAATCCAAATTTTTGCATCATGCAGATTGCCATACATTGGGCAGAGTAATACAATTTTTACGCGCATAGAACACTTAAGTCTCGTAGCCTGCAGTTCTAATAATAACTGAGCAGCAGTGGAAAAGATTTTGAAAGGAAGCATTCATTAGTTAATCGTATACAATGAGGTTATATGAACAGATGTACATAAGCAAAGCTGAAATACTTGCTGATTATCATCGTTATTTCATTGCTCTAATATGATAATCATAAACCAATAATAATAATGAAGAAAATATATTGAATACAGCTACCTATCTTAATTTACATAAATATTAATGTACGCTTAGATTATGTGTTGTATCTTGAAAGGCTTGTAAAGAATTGCAAAATGCAATCATGCACTATAAAAAATCATTACGAATTCCCCAATACACTTATTAAATAATGTAGTACAAAAGCATTGTGCAGGGTAAAAACAGATGTTCTCCTTAAACAAAAAATACTTTAACTTTATGATGAAAAGGTTTTGTTCACTTTTATTTGTTGCTTAAAGCCTGCTTATCAACATGAATCTAAATATACTTGTGAATTAGACAATATAGTATAACCATGAACATATACACTATACTATATAAATATAAATCAGTTATCGTTCAATAATATTATAGATATTGCATTACACAAAAAAAAGCTGGTATGGGGTCAAACAATCTATAATATAATATCAAAAGTTTTGTGCACAGTTCTAAGGCATACTAAGCTCAATGTATTTATTACTACTACACAAATTGATGTCAAAATTTAATAAAACACTAAACGCATATACATATACTCTATCTATCTAAAATACTAAAATACTAAAATACCGCTAAAAACATTCCAAATTTGTATAGCTTAGTGCGAGCATACTAGTCAAAAAAAAAAAAAAAAAAAGCAATACTATACTTACTACACATATAAAATTATAATGCTATATTTATAAAGTACACTAAGAATTTAAAAACCTGCTTTATCTATATAATAAGAAATAAAACAACAATAAATACCATGTGTAATCATGTGAATATATATATGTCAAGTGTTGCGTTAAGTTTTTTGAAAAGCATTTGTAAAAGTATTGGAATGTAGAAATAAAATACACAGCTAACTACATATATTATGTTATCATACAAGAAAATCAAAACTATATTATACAATCCGTAATAGTCAGTTGACAAAAGTTTATCTATGTATTTAATTGTAATCAGATAACGTAATTCAAAAGGAGTTAAGTTTAACAAACTGGTTCGATGTACTCTTACAACAAAATAAATACACGAAACACATACACATATGTAACTAAAGTTGTTGGTGAATAAAAAGCTAGACCCGAACACAAAACAAATCTTGAAAATAAACTTAATCAGTAAACTCTAAGTGTACTCTGAATTATGGAGGGATCATTTTGCAACCACCTTTTTAATATATATCGACGGTTCATGCTAATTCAAAGCTGACGTAATCCACATTGAGCCCTTTGAGATTTGAAAAAATGATGAGAGTGGTAAATGTTGCAGGTGGAAATGTATAATAAAGCATGTCTTAACATCGTTATGGTAGTGTACATTGAGCATTCAGACTTAAAACGAATTTTGATTTTTAGCCGATCACATACATAAATAACTGTGGAGTTTAACATCTGTAAGCCTATCGACAAGTAATCGGTTCTTTGGCGAGCAACTGAATCCATTACATTGATTATTGGAACAAATACAATAATTGTATTTATATTGTCTTCAAATCGACCATTTGTTCAGTTGTGTTTTTCAGCCTCATTCAATCTGTTTAAATAAACGAGGTGACAGACATTCAGTTCAATTTTATATGTGGTAATCGAACTTTTAGTTCATAAAATACACTGTTGTACTCAAATGGTGTTGTTAGGGATATGTGGTCACATAACAATGGAGCTATTCACGATTATTCGCATTTTCCCAAACATATATAGCTAAAACAAATTATAATTATTAAAATAAACAAAAAAAAAAATGCATAAGCAAGTTATTTAGTAGCAATTAATATTTTTCCTGAATATTATTCTATCGCTGTTAACTAACAGTGGATCAAAATGTTATGTTGTGTCGCTGTACAACCGTGTGTATGGGCTACAGATAAACAACTGTAACCTCATCGCCAACATGCAGTTGTAAATTTTGTCATTTAAATTGAATTTTGAATACTTTTTCGGAAGGTATTAAAAGTGCCAACAGAACTTGTGGATATTAAGTGAAGCTGTAGACAAAGTGAATTTGATTAATTTTTGTAAATGCGCAGTGCTCGCAGTTCAACGGTATAAAACTTACTGCCATAACTGCTGTTCGTGCAGACAAAAAAGCAGCCATAAGATTTTCCTTTTTTTGTTTTGAGTTGTGCGCGCACACACAATCAAAACACAAAAACCAACTGATACTTTACAAAGGAACAGCAAAAGAGTAATGGATACCACTGCAAGCGCCGGAGTGGGTAAGTGGCTGAGTCCCCTTAAAAGAATTTGTCATATTTTAAATTGAATTTCCAACCTCCTACGGTCGGTACGCTACAGCGCGTGTATGTCAGTTGGACAGACGGCCTATATACATACGTATGCTGGCGCGCAAATTGTTGAGCTAAAGAAATGCTGCGGCCGCACGCCATATACGCAGTCGTAGGTTTCCATTAGTTTCAACATATTTGGCCACCAATGTTGAATAATATAAGTTACATATTGGGTCGCAATAGCAAACAATTTGTTTAAATACAGTGAATAGTGCTTTTTAACAAAGTGAAACATCCCAAAATACCCCATCTGTAATCTGGCAACTCTGAGGCATGTGCTAGTGTGTGTTTCTGCCGATACAGGTACAGTCTGTGGGGAGATTTGCTTGCAATTCGACCATTGCAAACAATTAATATTTACGCTTCCGATTTGTTTCATTTTATATTACGACGGGAAACGTTGGCTTAGAGTGCGCGTAGACATGTCATTAAATTTTGTATAAAAATTTAGGCACTCATAAATTACTGAAATAATTTAAACAAACTTGCCACCCCGCACAACCTTACTGCTGTTACGTTTTTGAGTGGCAACACTTAAATGACCCGATCTGGCAGCGCCGCTGAGCAGCACATTTTAAGGTTTACGCAATTTTCTTCAATTCTTCCCAGTTATTAAAATTGAAAAAGCTACATAGCCGTTCATATTCGTTGTAAGTAATTTAATAGTTATGAGTTACATGATCCGCCAATAAAGTAATTTGAAATTAAAATATAATAGGCAATCCCAAAGTATAACGAAAATAATGTCGCAAGCATTTGCGTTTGCCGTCTGCCGGACCGGAGTTACATTACGCTGCAGCCGGCGTGCCTTGTCCACGGCGAGATTGCTACGCAGTGTGGCACGCCCACGTCTTGCCACTAGTACAGCATTTACCAAGAGTTTCCAGGCTGGCAATTGTCCCCCTACTACTACGGGCAATCTGCAACAATATGTGCGCGAGTACGCAAATGAAAAAAAGGTGTTTGAGCGCACTAAGCCCCATTGTAATGTTGGCACCATCGGCCATGTGGATCATGGCAAGACTACACTGACGGCGGCTATAACGAAAGTACTAGCTGATAAGAAACTGGCGGAGAGCAAGAAATACAATGAGATTGACAATGCACCAGAAGAGAAAGCCCGTGGAATTACCATCAATGTGGCGCACGTTGAGTACCAGACGGAGAGCCGTCACTACGGTCACACAGATTGTCCCGGTCACGCTGATTACATTAAAAACATGATAACAGGCACCGCACAAATGGATGGCGCTATTTTGGTAGTGGCAGCTACAGATGGTGCTATGCCTCAGACCCGGGAGCATATGTTGCTTGCCAAACAAATTGGCATTGATCATATTGTGGTGTTTATTAACAAAGTCGATGCCGCCGACCAGGAAATGGTAGATCTTGTCGAAATGGAAATACGTGAACTGCTGACTGAAATGGGCTACGATGGCGATAAAATTCCTGTAGTAAAGGGTTCAGCATTGTGCGCTCTGGAGGACAAGAATCCCGAAATCGGTTCCGAGGCCATACTTAAATTGCTTGCAGAAGTAGATAGTTTTATTCCGACACCAGTGCGCGAGTTGGACAAACCATTCCTGTTGCCTGTGGAAAACGTGTATTCTATTCCTGGTCGCGGTACTGTTGTTACGGGACGTCTAGAGCGCGGTGTGGTCAAGAAGGGAATGGAATGCGAATTTGTGGGTTACAACAAGGTGCTAAAGTCCACGGTCACTGGCGTAGAGATGTTTCATCAGATTCTTGAGGAGGCGCAAGCTGGCGATCAGCTGGGTGCTTTAGTGCGTGGCGTAAAGCGTGATGATATCAAACGTGGAATGGTCATGTGCAAGCCCGGCAGCGTCAAAGCACTAGATCAGTTGGAAGCGCAAGTTTATATACTGTCCAAGGAGGAGGGTGGTCGCACCAAGCCCTTTATGTCGTTCATTCAGCTACAGATGTTTTCTCGCACTTGGGATTGTGCTGTTCAGGTGCAAATACCGGACAAGGAGATGGTTATGCCTGGCGAGGATACAAAACTAATATTGCGTCTGATACGTCCCATGGTATTGGAACAAGGTCAGCGTTTTACGCTTCGTGATGGCAATCTAACCTTA